GAGTCCCTTGGACTGCAAGGTGTTCAAACCAGTCAGTCCTAGAAGAGATCAACCCCGACTGCTCTTTAGAAGCAGATCCTGAAGTTGAAACTCAAGTACTTTGGCCACCTAATGAGAAGGAAGGATTCACTGGAGAAGAGCCTCATGCTGGGAAAGATGGTGGGCAATAGAAGAAGGGGACGACAGAGAATGAGATGGCTGGATGGAGTCACTGAAGCAGTAGGTGTGAACTTAAATGGACTCCAGAAGATGGTCGAGGACAGGAAGACCTGAAGGAACGTTGTCCATGGGGTCGCGATGGGTCGGACACGACTTCGCAATTAACAACAACAACAACAAAATCCCACAGACCTACTGCCTCGTAGGCTCATACTGCAGAGAAAATAAGGCATTGCATTTCTAGCCAGCATAGCCACAGGATGATGGGAACTGTGGTTCATGACACCTAAAATATATTAGTTTGGGTAAGGCTGGATTAAATTATAAAAGAGCAGATGAAGGGAAGTATTTTTGTCTCCGACAAAATAATTGGGGAGTTGACTCGGACTTTTAATTTCAACTCACACCAATTCTTCTTAACTTCCCATTCAATCCAAAGAGTTCTATTATTGCCTGGATTTTAGGGAAGAGAGGAGGCAAGAATAGACCACAAAGCTAATCTGCAAGTTTGCTCTCTTGCCTGCCTGCACACCACCTTCCCGTGTGTGTGTGTGTGTGTGTGTGTGTGTGTGTGTGTGTGTGTATGAGAGACACACACAGAGAGAGATCCCCTTTTTATAAGTTTGCTTACTCTGCAACGCTCCCTGTTCTCCACACTTTCGCTTCCCTTCTCTCTCTCTCTCTCTCTCTCTCTCTCTCTCTCTTTCTCTCTCTCTCTCTTTCTCTCTCTCTTTATCTCTCTCTCTCTCTCTCTTTATCTTTCTCTCTCTCTCTCTCTCTCTCTCTCTCACACACACACACACACACAGAGAGAGAGACAGAGACAGAGAGAGACAGAGGTTAATAAAAAAGAGAAGGAGGGGGGAGAAAGGTGGAAGCTCTCCTTTTTTGTGAAACCTCAGCTTTCTCCTCCTCTTCCTCTCCTGACTCTCTTTCTCTTTGTCTCTGTCTCTCTCTCTCTCTCTCTCTCTCTCTCTCTCTCTCTCTCTCTCTCTCTCTCTCTCACACACACACACACACACACACACACACACACACCCTTCCTGTTTTCTTCTCCTCATCCTTTTCCTCCAGCTGCAGCTGAATGGAGTGGGAAGAAGTTAAAAAAAAAGAGAGAGAAGGCATGGAAGAATGGGGGAAGCTCTCCTTTCTTGTATCACCTCGGCTTCCTCCTCTTCTTCCACATCTCTCCCCCCCTCTCTGTCTCTCTCTCTCCCCCCATCTCTCTCTGTCTCTCTCTGTCTCTCTCTCTCTCTCCCCTGTCTCTCTCTGTCTCTGTCTCTCTCTCTCTCCCCCCGTCTCTCTCTGTCTCTCTGTCTCTCTCTCTCTCTCTCTCCCCTGTCTCTCTCTGTCTCTCTCTCTCTCCCCCCCCGTCTCTCTCTGTCTCTCTGTCTCTCTCTCTCTCCCCCGTCTCTCTCTCTCTCTCCCCCCGTCTCTCTCTCTCTCTCTCTCTCTCCCCCCCCCCGTCTCTCTCTCTCTCTCTCTCTCTCTCTCTCCTCTCTCTCTCTCTCTCTCTCTGTCTCTCTGTCTCTCTCTCTCTCCCCCCGTCTCTCTCTCTCTCTCTCTCTCTCCCCGTCTCTCTCTGTCTCTCTGTCTCTCCCCCCCGTCTCTCTCTGTCTCTCTGTCTCTCTCTCTCTCCCCTGTCTCTCTCTGTCTCTCTCTCTCTCCCCCCCCGTCTCTCTCTGTCTCTCTGTCTCTCTCTCTCTCCCCCCCCGTCTCTCTCTCTCTCTCTCTCTCTCTCTCTCTCTCTCTCTCTCTCTCTCTCTCTGTCTCTCTCTCTGTCTCTCTCTCTCTAGAGAGAGAGAGAGAGAGAGAGAGAGAGAGAGAGAAATCCTTCTTACTTTCTCTTCCTTCTCACCCTTTCTGGCCTGGCAAAGCAGAGGCACATGAGGAGAAGCCCAGCAAAGTGGGGCATGGCCAGGCATGACAGGGTTAAGCTGGGAGGAGCAGGGCGTCTGAGGCAAATAAGCTGCAGCTGCTGCTGCACACCACCAGCCCTTGAGTGCTGGCTGTTTCCTGTGCGTGCACCAGGGCATCCAGCTGGGTTGTGGTGGGGCAGGGCTGGGGCAGCGGGGGCCGGTCCCTTGCCATTACTGGGACAGCCCTGGGCCCTCCTCAGGCCACATCCGGCCCGTGGGCCTTGTGTTTGACATGTCTGCTTTAGTTGAAATGTTCAGGGTTTATATGGGTAACTGGTTTTACTGTCTCTGAAATAGAAAGATTTGGTACAGATCAACTCCAAGATCCAGACCAGTTTTTGGAACGCTCAAAAAGGCAATTTTGCAAATAACGGCAGTTAGGCTAAGAATAAGATTTTACTCATTTATACAAACCCTAAACCTGCATTTGCAGCTCCATTTGCACAAGTGGTGGGCCCAGTGGTGGGATTCAGTCAGTTCGCATCAGTTTGGCAGAACCGGTAGCTAATTTTTTGTTGCCCAGGCCTAGAATAGACTTCCGGAAGCACAAAAAATTATATGAAATCCAAAAAGAGCCGCAAGAATTGGATAAAATTATACATGGAACAGAAATAAAATTAATTAGCAATTTATATAAATACCTGTTGAGATATAAAATGGAAGACGAGGTTGTCAAAGACATAATGATTAGATGGGCAAAAATTTTTGGATATAATATAGAATTGGAGAAATGGGAAAAAATATGGGAAATAAATATAAAATTGACTATGTCGGCAGCATTCAAGGAAAACCAGTTGAAAATGTTTTACAAATGGCATCTTCCACCTGCGAAGCTTGCCAAGATGTTCCAGAATAATTCGGCAACATGTTGGAAATGTAAAAAAGTACATGGAACATATTATCAGCTATGGTGGACATGCCCAGTTGCAAAAAAAGAATACAATACAATTCTACAATAAGAAAATGGATCCAAGAAATAACAGACCAACCTGTAGACTGGAAACCAGAGATCTTTTTGTTGGGTATTTTAAATAGAAAATATAGTAAAGAAATATGGTACTTAATTTTACATATAATAACGGCGGCAAGAATAGCATATGCACAGTGCTGGAAAAATGAGAATATACCATCAGAGGAAGAAGTAATAAGAAAAATCCTGGACTGTGCTGAGATGGACAAATTAACAAAAGAGATAAAAGAAAAGGAAGACACAGAGAATTATATAGTATGGAACAAGGTGTATGTCTGGTTGGAGACTAGAAATAATAGAGGAGAATAAATATGGAAAGGTCAAAAGTGAAAATATGTGTATAATAATGTATAATAATAATATGAATTATCCTTAGTAAGAAGTAGAACATGAAGGAAGAAAAATGTAAATAAGAAATAATGGGGCTATAAGGACAAATATTTAAAGAAGAATAAGGGGGAAATGTAAATATTAGATTACCGTTATGTAATTGCTGTAAAAAAAAAGGAGGAGTATATATTGTGTGTGTATGTGTGTTATGTTTTGCTTTGTTCTGTTTTGTCTTGTTGGTTAAAAATAAAAATTAAAAAAAAAAGACTTCTGGAAGCAGCATCCACACAGAGAACCCGTTGTTCACATATTTGAATCCCACCACTAGGCGGGCCCATGTGCCTGCCCTTTGCCCACATCATTTCACTAGTCCACTTATTTAGTCACTTAGTCAAAGACTGCTCCAAATCAGCTGTATTAGAAATAATTACAAATCAAGGGCATTTAGAATAACATAATGCGGTTTTGCTTCTCTATACTATGCTTGCACAGGAGCCTCCATTAGCCCAAGGTGAGAACTGCATGTACAGAAAGATAAAGAAAATTAATCGGTTAAATTAACATTACAAAAGAAATGTTTGTAAAAACAAAGGGGTGTGGTTTTCGTTTTTACATGTTGCTTCCTGTGTGTGTGGAGGAAATATACTGAGCTTCTTCGGAAACCTGAACAGCTGCCACGGACACAAGTTGGTTTGGAGAGATCTTTGGTGATTGGCGAAGGGAAAAATGTTCTGGTTATCTTAACATTTAGAGGTCTTTTGGTTTTGCTATCTTTGATTCCTGTTATCCAAATCACAGTTACTTCTACCAACTCGGGGATGATGGTCGTAGCATCCTCTGTAAGTAGTGATAAACCTCGTAAGCCAGCCAAGGTCCTGATTATCACCGCAATAACAAAGGAATATACGTCATTGGTCACCAAGTAACCGAAAGCATTCTGTTACAAAATTAAAGGGGGGAATGAAGGGTCCTGGAACAAAGGGAAATTGTTCAATCTCACTGTTGCTTTCTTGCTTTTTGTAATTGGCTTTTGCACCAGGGAAATCTCATGCAAGCGTGGGAAACATGAACATGGACTCGATATACTAAAAGAGAGATTAAGGGAGTGTACAGGAAAGATGGATATCTTTCTTATGATATGATGGCTCTGTTGTTTGATTTTTATTGGCTAACAAAGTTTATAAAGCAATGCTACCAACTTTCTAAAGTGTGGCACTTCTGGATGTAACTCTGCCAGCGTTCCAGATTGTTGGCCCCCCAGCTGCTTGACTTGATCAAATAAAGTGCTGTTTGATCAAGAAGTCTCCACTTGGGTTATCTGGTTGGATTGATACGGTATCTCAAGTTCAGGTAAGGGATTGGGACCCTACATTTTTTTTGAACTTTTAAGTAAGTTTGCTATTGCTTTACTTTATATGGATAACTGGTTTTTCTGTCTCTGAAATAGAAAGATTTGGTACAGATCAACTCCAAGATCCACACCAGGTTTCTGGAACGCTCAAAAAGGCAGTTTTGCAAATAACCATTGGCTGCGGAACCAAGGAGAGATTCAGTTTGCAACAGAAAAGAGAAGAGAAAGCTGAAGAATGGCAGGGATCTGGGAAGTTCTCACTGCTCTGCTGGTGGGTTTTCTGATCCTGGATTTTGGAAAGCTTCTCTGGTCAAGCAGACGTTACCCTCCTGGTCCTCTTCCTTTTCCTTTCATTGGTGGACTCTGGCAGATTGGGACCAAGTTGTCTATAGATATGTTCACTAAGGTAATCTGTCTGTCTGTCTGTCTGTCTGTCAGACAGTGCACAATAAAATTTGAAAACATAAAAACAGTATATAAGAGTTAAAACGTAAAAGAAGAAGAAGAAGGTTGATTAAAAACAATGTTAAAAAGTAATTAAAAGGTGAAAGGGGAGGGGGCTTTCAGCGTGTTAACTGCGTGTTCTTCCCAAGCAAGATCAGCAGAGTCAGGTTTTCACCCCTTTCCAAAAAGGTAAGAGAATGGAACCCCGGGCGACTACACTTCATTTTTGATGTGTGCCGTTGTGCCCACAGTAAAAAAAAACGACAATAAAAATTATCTTATCTTATCTTATCTTATCTCATTCTGGGGGGGGGGGTGTTCCGCAAGATGGGCCAATGGCAGAGAAGGCTCTCTGCCTGGACCCCACCAGTCTTAACTTTAACTGATGGGGTCCACAACATACCTTCCCTGCCTGACTGGGTGGGATGGGCTGATGTAACGTGGGAAAGAGGGTTCCATAGCTAGCCTGGCTCCATGCTATGTAGGGCTTTACAAGTCAGAACCAGCATCTTGAATTGGACCCAGAGGCAAACGGGCATCTGATGTAGCTCAAGCAGCAGAGGTGTTCTATGCACCATTCCTTGGGCCCCATTCTGTACCCGTTGAAGCTTCCAGATGCCTTACAGAACAATAGCACCATGTAGAGTGTGTTGCAATTGTCCACACAGGAGATGGCCAGGGCATGAGTGACTGAGCAAAGAGTTTCCTTCAAAATTGCCACAGAAGCTGAGCACAAGAGCTTATTTGCCTCATGAAGATAAGAACTAGTTTCCACATGCAGTGCCTGAAAACCTACTGTTTCATTGCATACATAAGATACGTCTGATTATTTGTTACGTGTGAAATAATGCTACTTCCATGGTGAGAAATCGCCAAATAATTGTTTTCCCAAGGGCACGATTCAGTTACAGAATGGAGTTTGGTTCCAAACGTATAGCAAGCCCTGACAAGTCTTCAAAAGCCAGATAAATGGGTAGAGAACAGATTGTTACTAGTAGTATAATTAGGTAAAATCCCTGCAGATGTTACTCCACTACTCATTGCCTACTATAGGGGCAGTGTTCATCTCCATTTCAAGGCCATTGAGCCAGTGCTGTCCGAAGATATTTCTATGTTCCTGTGGCCAACATGATGGCACAGAGTGCTGTTACTTTCCCACCAAAGTGGGATTAAGTGGATCTTAATCACTCAACCACCAGGCCATTCCTGTAATTACTGTAGTTACAGTACTGCAATTAGCAGTGAAATAAAGAGAATAGAATAGAGCTGGAAGGGACCTTGGAGGTCTTCTAGTCCAGCCCCCTGCTTCAGCTGTAACTGAATGTTTCTTCACAGCCTCACTGATATGGCCCCCTGCCTTTAATTCAGGAGGAAAGGAGCTTGGTCTAAAATGGACTGCCCCCCCCCGAACCTTCATATATCCCACATGCTTTTAGATCAGTGGTTCTCAACCTTTTTAATGCCGCGACCCCCAACCGATCGTAAGTCGAGGACTACTCAACCAGTCGTAAGTCGAGGACTACTCAACTGGTGCAGCACCGTTTGCAGAATGGGACTTTTGGCGGGCTCAGCAGGGCAGAGACAGCCTGGACAATTCCTATTGGCTTTGGAAAGCCAATAAAATTAGACTCTATTCAAGAGAGTCTATTCTATTGGCTTTCAAAAGCCAATAGAATAAAAGGGAGGAGCACCGCTAAGGAAAAGGGGGGGGGGAAATGGCGGACTGCATTGTTTGGCGACCCCCGTGAAATGGTCGTTCGACCTCAAATGGGGTTCCGACCCACAGGTTGAGAACCACTGTTATAGATGTTTGGCACTAGCATTGTCCATCCCCTTTGAAGTTGATATATGCAATGGGGGTAAAACAGATAAAACCAGGAGAGGGACTAAAGCAGGAAGGAGCTCTATGAAGCTGCATTCAAGTTCAGAGAGACATTCAAAGGGAAGAGACAAGATTCTCGGTCCACTTGGTGGAAAAAGCTATCGGAACTCTTGTGCTGAGTATGGCTTCTTCTGACCCAATGTCCGGTTTTCCAAGTGGTCAATAGTCTTCTGAAACAATTTCACAGATGATCTATGGAGCTTCTCAGTCATCCAGGCCATGGTTGTCCCAAAGGTGCTTTTTCAAAAGGCAGCTGGACTTTGTTTTTTCTTGAAGATGTTTCGCTTCTCATCCAAGAAGCTTCTTCAGTTCTGACCGTCAGTTCAGCCAGTTCAGTGAGTACTGGAGAAGCTTCTTGGATGAGAAGTGAAGCATCTTCAAGGAAAGACAAAGTCCAGTTGCTTTTTGAAAGAACCACTTTGGGACAAATTTCACAGATTCTGCCATTGAGAAATCATCTCAATCAGTGGTTCTCAGCCTGTGGTCCATAGGGGAGCCCTGGGGTCCTTCAACTGTGGGGGGAGGGGCTGCAATGTCATCACAGGGGATCTGTGAAGGCTTGAAGAAATATTATGACTTAAATCTTGAGTGAAGTCTTGGGGATCCGTGGCCATAGTTTGTGAAAAGGTATTTAAAGGGGGTCCATAGTGAAGAAAACCAAAATCATGGCATCCGGCCCTCTCAATTCCTGACAAATAGATGGGGAAGAAATGGAGGTAGTGACAGATTTTATTTTTCTGGGCTCAAAGATCACCTCAGATGGGGACTGCAGCCAAGAAATTAAAAGACACTTGCTCCTGGGGAGGAAAGCTATGGCAAATCTAGACAGCATACTAAAAAGCAGAGACATCACCCTGCCAACAAAAGTGCGTATAGTCCAGGCCATGGTTTTCCCAGTTGCAATGTATGGCTGTGAAAGTTGGACCATAAGAAAGGCTGAGCGCCAAAGAATTGAGGCCTTTGAACTATGGTGCTGGAGAAGACTCCTGCGAGTCCCTTGGACTGCAAGGCGTTCAAACCGGTCAGTCCTAGAAGAGATCAACCCCGACTGCTCTTTAGAAGGCCAGATCCTGAAGTTGAAACTCAAGTACTTTGGCCACCTAATGAGAAGGAAGGACTCACTGGAGAAGAGCCTAATGCTGGGAAAGATTGAGGGCAATAGAAGAAGGGGACGACAAGAATGAGATGGCTGGATGGAGTCACTGAAGCAGTAGGTGTGAATTTAAATGGACTCCAGAAGATGGTAGAGGACAGGAAGACCTGGAGGAACATTGTCCATGGGGTCGCGATGGGTCGGACACGACTTTGCAATTAACAACAACAACAAAGTGAAGAAAAGGTTGATAACCATTGGTCTAGTTCAGGGGTCTTCAAACTTGGCCCTTTTGTGACTTGTGGACTTCAACTCCCAGCATGCTGGCTGAGGAATTCTGGGAATTGAAGTCCACCAGTCATACAAAGGGCCACGTTTGAAGACCCCTGCTCTAGATAATGGCAGGTTAAAATCTTCTGACTGTTGCTTAGCTGGAGCTCATGGCTGTTTCTCTTTTATGCACTCTAGGACCTAAGTGGCTTAGGAAAGCAGAGAAGGGACCCAAACTGTTCGGAGAGGAAATCCCAATTTCTCTGGGACTTTTCTTTGACATGTCTATAGAGATTCTCAGCCATCCTGGTCATAATTGTCCCAAAGAGGCTTTTTCATGAGGCAATTGGACTTTCTTGGGGGGTTTTTTTGAAGACATTTTGCTTCTCATCCAAGAAGCTTCTTCAGACCTTCTGAAGAACTGAAGAAGCTTCTTGGGTGAGAAGCGAAATGTCTTCAAAGAAAAACAAGAAAGTCCAGTTGCCTCGTGAAAAAGCATCTTTGGGTGTTCTTTGCCATCTAATTTAAAATTCTCCAGAAATAGATCATTTTTGACTGCAGAGGAGATGGGATAGTAATTCTAGCTCCTGTCAATATAAAGGTGATGCAGGTTCGTCTGCTATAAAGTCCCAGCTGTTTTCTCTTTTTCTGCCCCAAATGTCAGCTGAGGAAGAAATATGGAGACATTTATACTGTGTGGATGTGGCGTAAACCGATAGTAGTCATTTCTGGATTTCATGCGATGAAGGAAAGCGTGATCAACCATTCGCAAGATTTTGCTGACCGACCCCTTTCAAGTTTTCTTTTTAAAATAGGTAACGGTAAAGGTACATTCTTCTGAAAACCAAGGTATTTTATTGTCATTTCACTGCAGAAATGTGAATATTATTTGTTCCTCACATTAAGTTCAAGCATGGAGCGGGTCAAGGAAGCATTTGACTAGGAAATGCCTTTGGATGTTTGGCGTTATTTTCAGGATGTGAAGTTGTGCTTAGTAGCCCCATCATTTGGTTCTGAAATGCTTCTGTTCAGACAGTAGGTTCGTGCAAATCAGTTGCTGTTCTCTTTGTCTGCTTCAAGGCTAAAGAAGTACCCCAAATTTATTTATCTTTTTTATTAATGAAATGTGAATTTAACTTTAATAAACCTGAAATGAAAATTTCCCTCTTGAAATCTGTCAAAGGGCCCCATCAGAATAGAACTTCCAGAAATGGCTGCGAGATTTATTCCAGTCTTACAAGGAAACTCTTGAAACACACAAAGCAACGAATCTGCGAACATCTACAGGCAAACCAAGTCATAACCAGAAACCAACATGGGTTTGTCAAAAACCCAGCATGTCAGACAAATCTTATTACATTCTTTGACAGAGTGACAAAATTAGTGGACCAGAGGAATGCTGTGGATATAATTTGCTTGGACTTCAGTAAGGCATTTGATAAAGTAGACCACAATCTATTACTTGATAAGATAGAAAAATGTGGGTTAGACAGCATCACCACCAGATGAATGAACTGGCTGACCAACCAGACTCAACGTGAGGTCCTCAATGGAACTGCATCTAAAGACATTAAAGAAATAATGGTAAGTGCTGTCTCACAGTTTAGGGAGGAAATGAAACAACTTTTGGATCAGAATAAATCTGAAACTAAGGAGGAAATGAAGAAAGAGATGAAGGAGCTTTTAGAACAGAATAATGCTATTTTGAGGGATGATA